CACCTGCACCTAAGGTTGGCCCATGTTCAAAGTTGCTATGTAGTCCTGTATATTTAAAAAGAAGATACCTTTAATCAGATTTGCAGCCGACAGCCCAACTAAGACCATAGAGCCAGATACTTCTTCATTCAGATCAATGAAAAGTCCTGATGACTTAACTAAGAATTAGATTTGTCTCCTGATAGTGGCAGATGTGGATACAACTTTTAGTAGCATTTTCACACTTGGGCTACGTCTATACGTCATTTTTTGAGGAAGACCAGCTCTTGCACAAGAGAGGGTTTTTGCGCAAAAAGGAGCGGTCTACACGGCTTTTTTTTGCGCAAAAGCCTCTTGCACAAAAACAGCTGCTCATTACTTATGCAAATGAAGCGTGGCAATATTCCGCACTGTGCTTCATTTGCATATGCTTTTCCATTGGTGCTTGGTGCCATTAATAATAGAGTATTTCAGTAATCTGTTCAGATTTGCTGTTATTTCTGCTTTCTGAAGTAATGGATAGAACCGGTAAAAAAAATTGTCATTTTTTAAAATGGAAAACTGGGTAGCTAAATAACTTGAAGTGCTTTTTGATTTTTTTTCCACAGAGGCTAAAACAAAACAATGTTTTAAGTTTAAAAAGTCCACATTTTCTATGGAGAGAGAAAATTATTTTTGCTAGCTTCTGTGGTAGGCAATCATTTTAATGTTTGAAAATGGAAATATATAACCCTCAACACCAGTATGTTTTGGTTTAATAATTAGCAATGCCAAAGACTTCACTTAAGTCAAGATCAGAATACTTCGTGCTTAAAATTAGGCCCTGAATCCAGATTTAAAAGCCTTCATGTGGGTTTAGAGAACAATAACATGGTGGCAGTTCACCACACTTATCCCCTGGTTGGCCGCAGCTGCTATAATTACCTGCATGGCCACAGGTATTGGCAAGCGCAGCTTCCGTTGGTCATGGATCGCTGTTCCTGGCCAGTGGGAGTGGCAGGAAGCAGCGCAGACTGGTGCACCTCTTCCCGCAGCTCCCATTGGCCAGGAACAGTGATCCGCGGCCAACAAGAGCTGTGATTGCTGGTACCTGTGGCCATGCAGGTAAATATAGCGGTGGGAGCCCACAGGCCAGTATTTGCCCACCCCTGGTTTAGAGGTATTTAATTTTGAACATTTTTGCTCTAAGCTTTTTAAAAATGTAGCAGGGATGGATTTAAAAAATAGAGGTTTTTGTCATATAGAATATGGTTTAATTAGCTTTAATTTAAATCTCTTGAAAGGATTTTTCTCTTATAAATAAAATGTTGGCAAGAATAACTACTCCCATCCCTTTGGATTAACTATTTTTCCATTCCTCAAATATTTTTCATTTTCCCTCCACTGAGCAATGAAGATGTTCATTTGAATAGATTATTCTTGTGGCCACTTCTTAGGAAACCAAGAGAAATATAAAATACAGGAATGATTTTGAGTATTCCATGTATAAAGTTTCACAGATAATGTGACTCCTTTCTCACTCCTTTTAAATCTATGTTTACTAATCTTTCTTCTTCAAAGGTTTTCTAGACTGGGTCCCTAAGAAAATGCAGAGAGTAGGATGTGTGGAGCTGCTGAACACAGTCCAGAGACGAATACAGCCAAGACTTCATGTTTTTGGACACATCCATGAAGGTCAACAAGCTTTTCTCTGATTCTTAAAACCAACTGCACATTATGGCCAACATTTTCAAACTTGGGTTGCTAAAGATAAGCACCTAAGTTAATGGATACTCAGAAAGTCAGGCCACTTCTTAAGGTGAATAATATGGATATAAATAGTCTAGTAGCACCTTAAAGACTAACAGAACATCTAGATAGTATCATGAGCTTTCGTGGGCACAACCCACTTCTTCAGATGACTGGAGTATAATAAGTCCAGATCCAAAAATAAATAAGGGAAGGGTGGGCAGGAGAAGGATCTTGGATGTGGACTTATTATACTCCGGTTATCTGAAGAAGTGGGTTGTGCCCCCGAAAGCTCATGATACCATCTACATGTTTTGTTAGTCTTTAAGGTGCTACCAGACTATTTGTTGTTTTTTAAGTTTTTCCTGTTACAGAATAACTCAGCTACCCCTCTGATGCATTTAAGTGTCTAACATCCAAATATGAATATTTGGGTCTCACCATTTGTTTCAGTTTCCATATCTATGAAATGGGCATTATACCTATTGTGCCATAGGAACTACTGATCCAGTTGTTTTAAAACAAGGGTAGAAGTTTAGTACAGGTTGAACCTCTTTAGTCCAGACCAGAGAGTGTCAGACTAGAGAGGTTGAACCTGTAGTTACAGGATGCGACTACAAGTTAGTACTGCAGGATTCTATTTGTGACTCCTTAATGAATCAATGTGTGACTTTGGGGAAACCAAATAATCTGGCTGCGTCTCACATTGTGTCTCTGTAAAATCCTTAGGGATTCCTTTGGCTTAAGTACTGAGGTCCTGGGTTAAAAGAGTCTAAATCAATACAAAGTTAAAATGAGGCTCCATAAAACTCTAGAGTGTCCTCCCACACTTCATCCTATTATATGGTACGTGCACAATTTCTCTCTTCATCAGTTAGTAGTGGTGCAGAATTCTCTAGCAACCTGAGACACTGTAGATTCTTCAGTGTGACATGTCTCAGAGGAATAGGGAGTCATCACTGGCTCTCTGAGGGTAAGGTTTTTGTTTTTGTTTTTTACAGGTTAAATGTTCAGCACATAGACCCACCAAAGGTGTTCTCTCAACCATTTGGCTTTCAATAGGGAAAATGAATTCACTTCTTACAGAACATTAAATGAGATCAGTGTTGCTCCCATTGAAGCCAGTGACAGTGGGATCATATTTACAATCAAAGAAAAAGAGAAAGAATACATTTTTTTTGGTTTACTCATACCTTGCAAGATGTACAGCCTGGAAGTACAGTCGCTGCCTATTCCTTGCAATAATAAGGCTCTGACTAGGTGCTGCCAAATGCAGAAAGTAAACCAACTGAATGCCCAGAGAGACTAAGTATTTATCTGTTTCAGGCACAGCAGTCTTAGAGGTTACTCATAAGACAGTGCGTGAACCATTTAAGACAAAATCAGTTTTTAAATTGACATTATCCCTTTAATTATAAGCCAAGTAAGTTTAAACTTGGTATAAGTGACCTGTTGGTAAATAGAGTATTCACCATCAGGTAAATAGAGTTGCATCTGCTTACCCCATGTCTGAATTTGGCTCACCAAAGGAAAAACAAATGTTGACTCTCACAGAATGATAAATTATTTCAATTACCATTGCAGTCACAGTAAGTAGCAGAGTTAAGAGACAGGGAGTTTGTGTTGTAAACTATCATAATTCGAGAAAACAAATGGGAAATTGCAAAGCTTGTTTTGCAATGAGTTAGTAAAACTCCTCAGAGAAGAATTCCCAAGTAAGTTCTCACAGACAGCCTCTGCAAATAAATGTGCTCTTTGCAAAGTGAGTGCATGGTATGAACAGATGATATCCTCCCATGACTAAACACAGCTACATCTACAGCAGCCATCTCCTAAGTATCCAGGGGGAATAAAGAACTGACCGTTTCCTCCCCACTTCTTCCTCTGAACTGCAGCTACTGCCAAATATGCTCTATCTATGCCTATACTTGCTGCTACTCCACAGGCAGCCCAATAGTAATGCCATCTAAAACTCTACTTCCTGTGCTTCTGCCAGAGCTAAGGAGGGGTGATGATACAGAAGTCTCCCCATGTTAAGGTGGGAAGAGTGAAAATTGCAACAGTATAAATCGTGTAGAAAAGATAGCATTTTAACAACTGGGTGCCATGGTGATTGGATGCTTTACCAAGAGAGAGAAACCCCATTCTGAAATTTTCCCCAGCAGTGTTAACTGCAAAATCCATGTTTGTGTCTGATGGCTCATGTTTCATGACAAATTATTGTTCTGTGGCAAACTACAAATGACAGCGAGAAATCTCTCTGGCAGGAATCTCATTGTTTTCCTCCTTGCCATGGTCCTCTTTTTGAAAGGGTTTCTGGGAGCGGTGTACTTAGCTACACTTTTTCCCCTTTAAAACAAATAAAATGCAACAAAAAGACCATTGACTTCAGTGGGAACTCAGGCAAGCACTTAGGTAACTACATATACATTCCCAGACCTTCTCTAGTATGTTTAAGTGAACACCAACACATACTGGATCCACTCAAGTACCCACTGATATTATTTGGACTGTCACCACTAACTTCAGTGGCAGTAGGATAGAACCCATTAAAGATCATTTCTAGTGTATACACAGTTTTCAGACATTCATATCTTTAAATAAAACCCAGTTTTTTCATGTTGAGCCATGGTGTATGCTTATAAGAAGCACGCAGGATCTTTATAGGGGGAAAAGGCAATACACCGTATTTATTGATCTTACAATGACAAAGCAGTTAACATATGCTTACATAGACATACACATGGGGGCTGTATCTACACTGGGCCACTTATTCCAGAAAAGCAGCTGCTTTTCTGGAATAAGTGGCCCAGTGTAGATACAGCCCCCATGTGTATGTCTATGTAAGCATATGTTAACTGCTTTGTCATTGTAAGATCAATAAATACGGTGTATTGCCTTTTCCCCCTATAAAGATCCTGCGTGCTTCTTATAAGCATACACCATGGCTCAACATGAAAAAACTGGGTTTTATTTAAAGATATGAATGTCTGAAAACTGTGTATACACTAGAAATGATCTTTAATGGGTTCTATCCTACTGCCACTGAAGTTAGTGGTGACAGTCCAAATAATATCAGTGGGTACTTGAGTGGATCCAGTATGTGTTGGTGTTCACTTAAACATACTAGAGTTGGAACCCTTTCCCGGAAAAGGGATGCTAATGAGACCAGTCGGAATTGCAAATGCCGCAGGGGATTTAAATATCCCCCGCAGCATTTGCATGAACATGGCTGCCGCTTTTTTCCATCTCGGGGCTTTGCCGGAGAAAAGCGCCAGTCTAGACGGGATCTTTTGGAAAATAAAGCCTTTTCCAGAAGATCCCTTATTCCTCTTAAAATCAGAAATAAGGGATCTTCCGGAAAAGGCTTTATTTTCCAAAAGATCCCGTCTAGACTGGCGCTTTTCTCCGGCAAAGCCCCGAGCCGGAAAAAAGCGGCAGCCATGTTCATGCAAATGCCGTGGGGGATATTTAAATCCCCCGCGGCATTTGCCATTCCGACTGGTCTCATTAGCATCCCTTTTCCGGAAAAGGGTGCCAATGTAGACACAGCCATACAGACATGCACCGCTGCCACTGATGGTATAACTACCAGTTTGTTGCTCACATTAGCCTGGTGGTCAAGTAGACTAAGTGTGAGGGCGGAACCAGGTTTGCGTCAGCCCAGACTGAGGTTTCAGTCTGATAATGGCAGGATGACCCCAACTCTTATGGGAAAGTAGTCCTCCTTTTATAATGGTCCTTCTCCATCACGATCAGCGGATTTTACATTGCCATGCTGTTTTTTCTGACGGATGTCTGTTACCCCAACTGTTTTTGCTCCTTTTTTTTTCCTGCCATGCTACACTGGTTTCGATTATGAATATTTTGTTCCCATTGATAAATACTCACTTTTTCTTTAGTGTTTTTGGTTGCTAATTTGCTTTTTTTGTTATGCCTTTTAGTTTGTTGTTGTTGTTTAGTATTTCTGATTTAATGGTGGTTTTTATTTATATTTTTGTACATATTTTTTATTTGTACACATAAAAACAAGGGTTACAAGCAAAATTTTAAGAAAAAGCAAATTATTACATTTTAATTATATTTACTTTAAAGCTAAAAACAAACTAATAACTATGCAAATTTAAATTTTATAACAATTTTAAAGTATAAAATTATGTATTATTTATAATAAATAATAAAAAATAACTATAAACATGCTTAAAATATTACTAAAAGTTTTTAAAAAAGGATTTTTAGTACAATGGCATGCCTATATCCATACCAAATTGAGGATTTCATTCTTCTGCTTGTTTTGCTGAAGCTCAGTTGATTTTTCTTTCTTTTCCTAGACCATTAGAATTTTTACAATGGAAAAAATATTTTTCCACGAATCCAAAAATGTTTGAAGGGATTTCACTCAATGTTTCTTAAAAAAAATCTTTGAGACGAAACCACACCTGGGAAATATCACCCCAAAAGCTGGTAGTTCTGAAAAGTTCTGAATATAAGATTTTTCAGTCAAACTCCCACCCTCTTCCATAACTGGAGAGTTTATATATTTTTTATACTTCTTTGCAAAGAGAAAGATTAAAGTTACTAAACTTTTTTATGAAAACTTCACACGTCAGTGGCTAAATCATGCTAGGTGTTCACTTTGGAGAGTTCTCATTGGTTTCCTTTTTATAATCTACAAGACAGCACAAATTCTTCTGTCACTCCAGTATTATTACTCCTCTCATGGAAGCTTCACTAGTATGAAAGAGAGCAGAATATGGTCCTGTTTACTCTTTGGGACTATGGATGTATCACTATTCAATGCCACTTCCATATACATGAATAACAGCAGTAACTAGAACATGTTTTCTTTTGTAGGTTATGGAGTAATGGCTGATGGAACCACTACCTATGTGAATGCCTCGGTGTGCACTGTGAATTACCAGCCTCTCAATCCACCTATAGTTATTGACTTACCTACTCCAAGAAACACATGATTGTTACAGGGATTTCATGATGTACCCATCACACAGCAATTTTCTATTGCTGGCTAAGAAATATGATACAAAACCATTCAATGAACAAATGAAGACCTTTTTTTTTTCTTTTAATTCTTCACAACTATATTCGAGTGATGAAAATAAATGGGAAGCAAAGACATTTTAGTACCAATATTTTCCAGAAGCTGATTAAGGACTGTAAAATTTCAGCATTAAAATTATTGTGAATACACAAAAGTGAATGCATTCCACATATATTAGGGAGTTGGGGGGTTTTGTATCCACCATATATTGAACTTATTAAAAGTATCAAGTCTTTTCAAAGGTGTGTTTCTTAAAGAATGTTTACAGTTTAAACATGAATGTTTAGACTAGAATGTAACCGTTTAAAACATTTTCCAGTGCGTACTTGGTAAAATAAAATGATGTTGATATTTTTGCTGAATAATATGACAAATATGAAAAAAGTCTACAGAAGTACTGTATTGAGCCAGTTTTAAAAAAAGCAGAGTTATTACTGCAAATCCTTCTGAAGTCTGTGCCCTTGCATGCTTTCAAAGCCAGTGCAGGAGAAGATCCTAATTGCTGCTCTGTAATTCAGTTGCATCACAGCTGGCATTACAGATGGAAGGGGAAATGGTGCATACTGCCAGTGTGTGGTAATCAGCTCAATGTTCTAGAAGGGAGATCTTGTTAAACGTAGTACAAACTCAGGCATTTGTAAACTCTGAAAAAAGTTCCTTGTGGAACATGAGAGTTGATCTGTGATTGGATTTAAAACAAAAGGAAGCCCTGTGACAGCCAGTAGTAGTTTTAAAAAGTAGGCTACCAGGTGGCTCTTTGGCTTAAAGAACCGGTAAAGGGATGTGCGGCCTGTCAGAAGGCCAATGGTTTGAATCTGATCCATGATGGGAATGATTAAAAGGCTGAGGTAATTCATCCCTGGATTAACACTCCTGACTTCAATGGAGTTACCAAAGAGTTTTGCCCTGTATCTTCTAATAGCTGTTCAGCAGCATGAGTGAAAATGAGAGGCACGCTCACTGCAGTTTATCCGGCACTGGTGTTAGCCTCACAAACCCCTCCATTGCTGTTTGCCTCCTTGTGAGCCGTGGTAGTAGAGATCAAGGACTAAATGAACCCTGGAGCTTGAAATCATTTCTAATCCCTCTCTACAGTCCATTCTGATGGAAGGGCTACCGTGCATTGGCAGGGGTGGGCAGGGAAGCTGATACAAGCAGGCTGTGTCTAGACTGCCAAGTTTTTCCAGAAAATCAGCCGCTTTTCTGGAAAAACTTGCCAGCTGTCTACACTGGCTGCTTGAATTTCCGGAAAAGCACTGATGATCTCATGTAATATCGTCAGTGCTTTTCCGGAAATACTATGCTGCTCCCGTTCGGGCAAAAGTCTTTTTCCAAAAGACTTTTGCGCAAAAGGGCCAGTGTAGACAGCACAGTACTGTTTTCTGCAAAAAAGCCCCGATCGCGAAAATGGCGATCGGGGCTTTTTTGTGGAAAAGCGTGTCTAGATTGGCACGGACACTTTTCCGCAAAAAGTGCTTTCGCAGAAAAGCATCCTGCCAATCTAGATGCACTTTACCGAAAATGCTTTTAACGGAAAAGTTTTCCGTTAAAAGCATTTTCGGAAAATCATGCCAGTGTAGATGTAGCTGCACTGATCATGCTCCACTTCCATAGGTTCACAGAGGAGTTGTGTTTGCAGTTTCCATTCCAGCATTTCACACTAGCCTGAAAAATCACTTTAAAAAGTACTTTAACCCCAAAACATGCCCTAAAAGGAAAAAAGTCCTCACTCCTCACCTTACCCAATTTCTTAAATCAAAAGGAGACCTCTTGCCTTTACTGGGATTATTTGGGTATTATATTTTGGATATCTTTTTTTGAATGTTGATATTAAAAAAGGAGATGTGTGTTAACCTTCACACACATTAGGCAAAGCTCATACACGAGGCATTCAGACACCCCGTGCATGTATCCAGTGTATGTGCGAAGCCCTCATTTGCACACACCAGTTATGTATTTGTGCATGTTAATGCCCTTTTGCGTGCACACACACACCCTTGCTCAATATGCAGACATAAATGTGAGCTTTGCATGTAACCGCTGTATGTACATTATTGCCTTGCACAACTTGGGCACCTATTTCTGAAAGCTTGCACCTCAAAGCAAAATCTAGGAGGGACACTAGGTTCATTCCCAATGCTTCA